TCGTTAGTGCGCCGAATTAGGCACTGTACCAATTAGGCATATCTATCTTATATGTAGGCTATTTTGGTTAAATGATAGTATCTTGCGAACTATTGATCAGAATCATATGATTTTGGTACTATTCGATTCGTCACGATGAGATGAATCGAATGGTACCAAAATCACATGATTCTAATCGACGGTTCGTAAGATATCGTTAGTGCGCCGAATTAGGCACCGCGCCAAATTAGGCATATCCACCTTATATAGTATTTACTTTCTATTTCGTTTTTGTAAACTTACCAAGCCTGCCTGAAAATTACAAACCATTGGAACGTTTAGAATATATTACAAGCTACTTTTACAAGGTAAGAATGTCAATTCCAAGTAATCTTGTCAGGATTTAGAAACCTTGCAATTAGAATTTAAAATCTAATGTGTTTTAAAACTATTATTAAAATAAACCAGAATTACTACGGACGAAGTTGATTTTGTATTCTTAGAAAAGAATTTACCATATAAGAAGCATCGGGTCGAATTAGTTAAACCGTAAGATATAGTTGCGACTCATGAAAAAGAATTGTAAATTTTTTTTTACACAATTTTTCAATAAAAATTAACTTTAATATCTTGAATACATCGATTAATACCAGTGTTGACAAATAGAACAATAGAATAAAAGCTTGATTTTTTTTTTTTATATGAAAAAAAATTTTTTTATTAATAATTTGCAATTATTTAAAATATTTTTGGATTTAATTAGTAAAATTTAACAATCAAAAATGTCCAACGAAAATTTGAGCGAATTGATCGATGATTTCAGCAAACTGAATTTCTCAGATTGTCAAAAATCAGCCGATACGAACGATCCAGACGGAATTTTCTGCCTCGGTTATTGTTACGAACACGGAATTGGAGTTGAAAAGGATGAAAAAAAAGCATTCACGCATTATCAAAAATCGGCAGAAATGAAAAATTCTAACGGAATGTATCAAGTTGTTATAATTTAGGAATTGGCGTCGAAATCGATAAGCAAAAAGCATTTTCATATTATTTGAAGTCTGCTGAGGCGGGTAATTCCAATGGAATTTTGAAAACTGCCATTTGTTACTATTATGGAATTGGCGTTGAGAAGGATGGAAGGAAATATCGGGAATGGAAGTTGATTTTTAATTTTTTTATTAGAATATTTTGTAATTTCTTTATTTGAAATTGAGATTTCTTATACAATTTTTAATTATTAGGGAGTAAGTATAAAATGCATTTTCATCAATATAAATCGGCGATTTAAGTTCATAATTATTTATTTATTGTTTTTTTTTTTTTAGCCCGTGAGTATAAAGAACATTCATTTATTTATTGATATAAATAAGATCTGCCAACATTTATTTACCGTTACGTTTCATTCGCATTAATTCAGCATGTGAGTATAAAGAACATTTATTAATCAATGAATTAAAAACAGCAAAACAAGTTCACAAAACAAGATCATATTTACTTATTTACCATTACATTTCATTCGCATTAATTTAGTGAGTGAGTATAGAGAACATTTATTAATCAATGGAATTAAAAACTACAAAACAAGTTCACAATACAAAAACACAAATACTTATTTACTATTAATTAATTTAGTCGGCAAGTATAAAATTATTTATTTACATTCGATATAAAGTTTAAAATTGCAAATGCGAAATAAAACCGTTATATATTATATAGAAAACCTGAATATGGAAAATGTACACATTGTAATGAAGATAACACTAATCCGGCATGGTGTCTATCATGCGACCCTGACATAACGACAAGGTGGACAAGTGGAAATAAAGATATTGAGAATTGCATGAAAGAATTCCAACTTCGAACTTGGAAATATGAAGATATGATAGAATGGATTCCATTTGATAAATTATCTGGTATTAAAAAAATCGGTAAAGAAGGATTTGGTTCTGTATATTCAGCAACCTGGTTGGATGGCATACGAAAAATTGAAAAAATTAATGATAATGATGGTTATATCTACAAAAGAGCGCGTGAACCATCAAGCATCGTTGCACTCAAGACTTTGGCCAGTTCTAAGGAAAACAATGATGTTTTAAAAGAAGTAAATTAATTTATTGCTATTATAATTTTTTAATAGTTTAATTTTTGAACTAATTTATTGTTAAACTTTAAGTTTAAAAGTCTTATGAAATGTAAATTACATTCTAGTAAGCTCGCAATATATGGAATAACCCAAAACACAGAAACAAAAGAATATTTGATGGTCTCTCAGTATGCTGATAATGGAAGTCTTCATAAATATTAACAAAAAATTTTAATGAACTTTCATGGCAGGCTAAATTACAAATACTTAAAGATACTGCGTATGAGTTATATTGTGTTCATTATAATGCAGGGTACATCCATGCAGATTTTCATAGTGGTAACATTTTGCAAGATCAACGCACTAATGAAAATACACAATCCTATATCGCAGATCTGGGATTGTCTAGAAAAGTAGATGAGAATGTTTCAACTGGCGAAATTTATGGAGTTATGCCCTATGTTGCTCCTGAAGTTTTATCAGGCGAGCAGCAGTTTACACAGGCAGCAGATATTTATGGGTTTGGTATGATTATGGCAGAAATGTCGACTGGTCAAAGACCTTTTGATGGACGTGAATTTAATTTAAAACTTGCAGTAGAAATTTGCAAAGGATCGCGACCAGAGTTTGCACCCGGAACTCCTAAATGCTATATTGAATTGGCTGAGGAATGCATGAATTCTGATCCACAAAATCGGCCTGATGCTTGCGATATTTGTGTGGAAATTGATGATTGGCTTAAGATGATAACCAGTTCAGACGATAATGAAATTAAAAAGCAATTCTTGGATGCTGATAAAGTTATTAAATCATTGCCGATACCAAAGCATTCTGATGAAATGTACACTAGCAAAATTATTAGCACGAAATTGATTTCAAAGGCGATTAAAGGTATTTTCAGCTAATATTTTATTAAATTTATATTATAACTATTTAAAACTAATATAATTTGTTTATTTAAATTTGCCACAAGTTGATTCTGCTCAAGCCAAGCTTGATGTTACCGAACTTTGAACATTTTGTTATATATACAAACCAAGAAAACGGATACTGTTAGCATTTAAAGTTAAAATATATATTTATAATTAATAAAAATAATATTATACCATATTTATTTTGCTAAATTGTTTTTTTTTATTTGATTAAATAATAAATAACATTATTGAAAATGACAATATAAAATTTGGTTTAATATTTTTAAAGTTTTTTGTAGATAATAATAAATTTACTTTTTACTTTAAATTTATAAATTAACCCTTCTTTAAACATTAAGCATTTTTTATTTATTGCAATCTTTCCACATTTCCTTTTAGATTAAAATGGAAAGAATTTTCGGTAAAAAATTTTATATTATGTATGCTATATGAATTGCATTTATAAGATTTTTTAAATTCAATGACTTTTGATTCTATAATAAAATGTATGCATTGCTATGTAAACTTTATTTGAAATTACATACATATTCATTAAAAATATATTGTTAGTTTTATTATAATTAACAAGATCCCAAGGATTATTTATTTCTTACAATACCAGATAGTTAAAATTTCTTTCTTCGTATATACGTATAATAATTATGCTATTAGGATAGCATAAATTTGTTAAAATGTGTATTGAGTCCTAAACTTTATTTCATTTAATCGTAAAAGAAAAAAACTACGTAAGAAATGTAACGCTAAGTAATAGTATCATTTTAGCTCGTCTCTAATTATAAATGCACTTTTGTTACGGTATTACAACTACTTCTTCATAAGTAGGAGGTGCACTATCATCAATGATAGGATTTTCATTACGATTTGCCATGTTGATGGATGAATTTTTTTCTTCGTTGCAAGTATTATGAATAATCTTGTTAAAAGTATGTATTATTTGTTCCAGATTTCAGTAATCTAAAAAATGTAACCTATAGGGATTATAATTGCCAACACTATCAACAAAATTTTAATTGCACTTAAACCAAAAATAGTGATAGGTAATATGAAGAATAGAAAGGTAATAAAACACGCCATTGAAAACTTTTTCTTTTAAATTCCATAATACTGCTGATTAATAAAGGCGTCCACCCTATGCCGATAAAGCATAATGAGAGCATCAAAAAAACATACAGTATTTGTTTATTATGGGAACCAAAAGTAAAAAATAATGGAACAATTGTTGCAATCCATATTCCACTTTGAAGAGTGAAAAATTCTGTAACTAATATTTTGCAAAAATGAAACTTGGTAGAAGATGTAATTAGTCCCAATAGCAAGCATCACAAAAAGAATGAATGCACTTATTCCAACTAAAACCCAAGTTCGAACTGAGTAATCTATAGATAATAAATTTGCAAAGGATTTTCAGGATTGTAATAACATCGCATATTGGATTCTACAGGATGTTCTGTAAGAAAATTTTGTGACTCCGTTAGGGACTGATCATAATTCACAGAAATGTCAGAAGTTATAGTTTCACCTCTCCAAATAGCATACTGCACCAATAACTTCAAGGTATAGCATTCGGGGCATTTAATCTGACAGGATTGATGAATTGTATAGTTACAATACGAGCATTTGCAACTATATGTAGTGCAACTATTGTTATTACAACTTGTGCATGTTTGACAACATTCATCACAACCATAATATCCATTATCACAAGTTGCTCGAGGTCCATCAATAGGTCAATATTTTGAGAATTATTTGACATCAAAACAGTTGCACATTGAATAAGTAAAAATGCATTCCAACGAGATTCAAGTGATGAGCAGCTAGGTGCTGAAGAGGGTGCATCTCGGCAAGTAAAATCGCAATCTCTATAGCAACAGTATCTGGATGTAATGGACTCGTTTGCGATTGTACATGTTGTAGAGGTATACTCTGCCCTCTTGATTTCTGTATATCCTAAACCAAAGAATAGTCCTAAGAACAGACTTAATGCAATAACTAGTGAAATCATGTAACAGGTTTTTAACATGTGTGGATTATACTTTTAATTCACAGATAAAATAAATGCTTATGCTAAAAATAGCAGAAGGAAGAAAATGGGTTATAAAATTGCGCCATAGCACATAAAAATCTCTGGCTAAGTAACCTGATTGGTAAATCTAATCACGGAATTGCAGCTAACCTTACGTTAGTAAAGATAGATTATAATACTGTAAAAATGCATTATTCTCTGGCTCTTAATTTCTAAGTACTTTTCAAATGTCAAAATTGCCGAATATACATACTGTCTACTTCCAACTAAGGGATGTTTGTGAAACAGGTTTTTGCCCAACAGGTTTCTACCTTTTTTGTTCATTCAATTACATCATATAGCATGATTGCAGTAAATGACATATCAACAAGGTCAAAGTTGTTTCTTATAGAACTTAACTCATTATTATATACTAATATATATTCATTTGTAGTTGTATTTGAGTTAATCCATAAATATTTTTACCTTCTAACTACACATGATTTTTAAACCTATAAAATATAAAATATATAAATACGATTTTTGTATACACGTTATTAATAAACTATGCATAAAATAATATAACCTTACTTCTTCAAATTATCTAATAAATTTTGTGAACTTACAAATACTTTAAGTGTAATTGTACATGGAGATGTACGTGACTGTGTATATTCACCATATTCATATTTATCATTCACGCATCATATTCCATCTAACCAGGTCGCTAAAAATCTCAATTTTTTCTAATCGGCTAAAAGGAATCCATCCGATTACATTATCGTATTCTGTAGCTTTAAGTTGAAGTTCTTTAATACAATCATCTACGTCTTTGTTTCCACTTATCCATATTTTTGATGTTTTATAAGGATCACATACCTGACACCAAGCTGTCGATGTATTATATCGGATGTAATTTGCCCATTTTCCATTACAATTATCTCTTTTGGAACAAAATTCATCGAATATCAGCATATATTCATTTGTAGCTGTGTTTTGAGTTAATCCAAAACGCTTTTACCTTCTAGTTGTATATGATTTTTAACCTTACAGAATTTATAAATGTATAAGTAGATGTTTATGTAGGCACGTTATTAAATTAAATAGACTACATATAATAAATAGCATAATCTTACTTCTTTTAATATATCTAATAAATTTCGTGAACCAGTTAATGTTTGAAGCCCCACTACGCATGATGTACGTGACTGTGTATCATTATGATTTACACATCGAATTCCATCTTACCAGGTTGCTAAAAATCTATCACCAATTCTTTGAATATTATCTAATCTATTGAAAGAAATCCATCTATATAACTTGTAGCTTTAAGTTGAAATTCTTTGATGTAAGCATCGATATCCTTATTTCTACTTGTCCATCCTTGTGTTGTCTTTTGAGGGTCACAAGTCTGACACCAAGCTTCAGAAGTATTATATAGGTTGCAATTCGTACATTTTACATTATTCTTAGATCTTTTGAAACTAAATTCATCATCGAATACTAACATATATTCATTTGTTATAATGTTTTGAGTTAATCCATATACTTTTAGCCCACTACTATTTAATTTTATATAATTTATAAGCTCATCAATTATTAATAATAAATACGTATATACTTGAATTAAAAAATTATACTATATATAATAATGTGGTAAATAACAAGTCAAATATTTAACTTACCTTTTTAACATATCTGATAATTTGATGATCTAGTTAACTTTATAAGTTCCGCTCTATGTGATGATATACGTGACTGAATATAGCCATCAACATATCGCATTCCATCTAACCAGGTTGTTAAAAATCTATCATCAATTATTTGAACATTATTCAATCTATCAAAAGGAATCCATTTTACCACATCTTTGTAATCTGTAGCTTTAAGTTGAATTTCTTTAATAAAATTATCAACATCCTTATTTCAACTTGTCCATCCTTGCGTTGTTTTCTGTGGATCGCATGTCTGACACCAGGCTGGTGATGTATTATGTCGATTACAATTTGCTCAATTTCCATTAAACATAGATCTTTTAGAACCAAATTCATCGAACACTAACATATGTTCATTTGTGATTGTGTTTTGAGTTAATCCATAAATTTTTCTACCCTTTAACTGCACATATTTTTAAAATTATATAAAATATAAAATATATAATAAAATTTGTGTATAGATGTTATTAATTGACAAACTAATATAAACTTACTTCTTTTAATATATCTAATAAACTCTGTGAACTAGTTAATGTTTTAAGGTCCACTAAGCATAATGGTGTACATGGCCGTGTATATCTATATCCATATTCATCTTTATAATTATTTGCATATCGTATTCCGTTTAACCAAATTGCTAATAATCCATCACCAAACTTTTAAATGTTATTTATTTTATTAAAAAGGATTCATTCTATTACATCTTTATACTTCATAGTAGAGGTTGGAACCGAATTGTTGCACCCGAATTTAAAACCGGTTCAACCCGATTCGGATAATTTATATTTGAATTTAATAAAACCGGATTTATCGAATTTAATAAAACCGAATTTATCGAATTTAATAAAACCGAAAAATCGATTATGTTTATTGCGATTTATTTACAGCTGTTTTCATTATTCCTGGGACACATAAAAAAATTGGCCGAAAAATTTTTTGGCCGGTAATTTTTTCGGCATAATAAATTCAATAAAAATTGATATAATACTGTAATATTTACGTAATTTAAAATCAGGTGGCTAATATAAATAACATTTCTTGTTGAATTCAAAAAATATGATATTTTCAAACCACATTCACTGGTAAATTATTGAAAAACAATTTAGAAGGCCTATCAACCCGAAAAATTGCAAAACACTTAGGTGTTAGCAGGTCTTCTATAAGTCGGGTTCTTATGCATTTTCAAAAATATGGTTGTATTGAAAAACTTCCATCATTTTCGG